TCTGACATACAGGGTAGGCAAAAACATAGTTTTGAATATTAATGAGATTTCGTGGCATAAAATAGCAAATTTGGAAATGAGAATGGCTGGAAATGAAATGAGAATGGCTGGAATGAATTTGGAAATGAGAATGGCACGAAATTTGGAAATGAGAATGGCTTAGAGCCCGAATGGCCCATCATTTTAGCCATTAAAAAAAACGTATAACTTTACATTTATTAATAATTTATTTTAAAATTAGGTAAGTAACCTTGAAATTGTACAATACGACCAAGAACTTGACTCTCGACCCACAAAATCCCTCTGATTCGATGACACGCCCATGCGCTCCCATCATCAAATGAGAGCAACGTAACATTCAGTCTGCACTACTGAGCACTGTTGCACTGAGCATAGTTTTTTATGACAGAGGCTTTTCAAAATAGTTGTGATACACACTGCAAAAGCAAATATGTTTTCTGTAGTACGTTTGAAACATAAAAAACAGATCCTATCTCGTACACGGATGTAACACTCTCTTACATTGTATCAGTAAAAAAGTCAAACAACTGCACAAATGTATTGCGTGATAAAATTACCGAAAAATATCATTTGAACTTGACAGTGACCGAAATGTAAACGCAGCTCTCTACGGATCGAGTCCATGTCTTCTTGGATGTCCGGGTGACGCCGCGTCATTGGTTGAGCTGGCCTCCCAGCCAACGACGCGGCGTCACCCGGACAGTTAAGAAGAATTGGCAATGACGTATACAGCATGTTCATACGAACTAATCATTCTTTAAAATATTTTCTTCATTTAAGATGCACGTATCAGTTGATGTTCAAGTTTCAAATAATCTTTGAACCTTGTACTTTAACACTGAAATTAAAACAAAGATAGATCCAATACCCTAATTAAAATCTGTAATACCCTATAAATGTAAAAAAAATACAACAATTTTATCTCGCTCAGCAAGAAACTATTTTCTGCTGTGAATATTTTTCTCAATATGATATTTTTCAGAATTGATGAATTTTTGTGGAGCCATTGCATCGCAGACTTTGCGTCACATTTAGACTTGTTGATGACAAAGTCAAATATAAATTACAAATGCTAATCTCAAGACTAATCGTTCATCTTTCATATTGTCCTATTTAATATTACCCTCTAATTTAAATATTAATTTGCATACAATGAAAACTCTGCACACTGCAAAATACCCGCATTTCTTTTTATTTTATCTTACATATGGTGCAGAAATATTACAGCTGTATTATGTATGAAGCGAGAAACAATATCAGCAATCCAAAGCTATAAACATCTTCTAGTGTTAAATAACATTTATCTTGCTTGGCGATTTGATCCTCGAAGTGGGCCAGCGAACTCAAGTGACAGCATGGCAAACGAGCAAGTGCACAGCGGACGCCCCAGGGCTGAATACGAGGACTGACGTGTGCGCTCGACACAACTGTGCCAATGTGTGCAACGAACTCATTTGAGTAGGAGTAACAACGTTTCTTTCGCAAGACAGTTTGCAGATATTTTGTAAAAGAAACGGGCAAGAAAGGTTTTTGGTATTTAGTTTATATTAGAAGGACTAAAGAATAAAATTTGAAACGTAGTGGCAAACTAGTTTTGTAATGTTCATTAATATTATTGAAATGGAATTTTGATGGATAAGAGACTTCACTTGGTACTTAGTCTTAATATGTCTGTGTGAGTGAAGTCAGGTAAAACGAATTGCACGCATCAACTACAAACCCGCGTGAGTCATGCTTCTAAGAAGTTGCACAAGAGAAGTGAGAGCAAACTTGTACACGAAGTAATCGTACTGGCCGCAATTTCACTACTAGAGCGAATCATTTTTTTCTGCAGTTAAATGCATTGAACGGAGGTTATTAATAATCCTCCATGTAAATGTCACAAATAAACTCTAATTGTCATTTTGTTATCAAAACTGTATCGCATATGTCAAACCGAAATACTTCTATATTTCATGCATATGCCTAAGGCAAACTGCGCTCTTTTTCTCTTCTGTAACGGTTCCCTTTTCTTATTCTGTACGTTGATTATCCGAACACGAAGTTAAAATTATTGGCAAACATTAATTTTAAATACATTTGTTATTGACAACAATAATAAATGTACCAGTGACGAAGAAAATGAAATAAACCCTACTTTATATTTAATGTATTGTTCATGGATTGCTGGCGCGCTCTGATACGAATATTGAAAATGTGCCTTCCATTTCTGAATTTTATCACTGTTTTAGTATGTAGCAGTGTCTTAATCTCCAGTCCAATGTACCGCATGAAAATTCCAATAAAGAGGATCCAGCAGTGATATTCAGCGGCAAAATCGTTTCCCCCACAGCACCCTTGACCAGGAGGTTCCAGGGAACCGGCGGAGAGGTATTTTCAACAGTAGCAACATAGCTCGGCAGAATTCAGCCGCAGTCTGGTTGAGAAGTCTAGTGCCCGGCTTCTCTAGTCCGTGGGGTTTTCTCTGGGTTGACCGATTTATACCAGACGACTGATAGAACAGAACCTTTGTAAACGGGCCATGGAGTGCACACAGTCTCTCCTTCATCTTCGTCCCTCTTTTCCCCTTACAAACACACATTTACACACACACACGCACACATACACACACTTCACGCTCTACTCTACCACATATGAAGGGAGACCAGTTGGGAGCTTACAGCTTGTCCCGGCCGGGACGGTGCTCAGCTGGTGGGAGATACTTGGTCGGGGAAAACCTCGCTAGCCGATACGTAGGTCGGCGCCGGATCTCGTCATTCAGCGAGGTAAGACCACCAACGACTGAATAAACCATGCACTACACTTACGGGAATAATTACTATCAGTTGCTATGTCAGTAATCACCTCGGGCTCCCGAAGAGTGAGGATAGAAGAAGGAAAAGGGAGGAAAGAACGCGCGTGGTCCGTGGCCCGTCGTACTTCTCCGTCATTTGCCAGGTGTTTATCGGAGAAAACACGGAAAACTCCCGATAAGAGCAGCCGGCCGCTAGAATTCCCGAGACAGCGGCTGAATTGGGTCTAGATATCTAGCTAAGGTCGATAATTCTTCCACCGTCGAGACACGAACCTTAAAACCTGCCAGTCCGAGCAGGCAACTGCAGTGCCATCAGTTGATGCCCTGAGCCACCTCTACCGGTATCAATTCCATAGTACACCACAAGACAAACCCATTGTCCGTCCGTCCGTCCGTGTGTGAACGCACCTGTAGCGACAGCTTGCCGCGGGCAGCCCAGATCCTTCACGCCGGCCAGGCAGGGGATGAGCGCGCGGCCGCGGCGCCGCCCGGACACCTCAAGCGCGCCGCGCCGCGGTGCGCTGCGCTGCGCTGGGCTGCGCTGCGGATGACCTTCCCCGGGGCCGCGGCGGCGCCGGCGAGACCTGCAACGCATCGGAAATGCTCTTCGCAGCTGCTGCCAGCCCGCGCGCCTCGCCTCTGCACTTACCTGCGCGACCTTCCCAGAAGGAGGCGGACCCCACGGCTACGTTCACTTAAAAATAAAATGGCGAGAGTCGGGAAGATGATGTGGATTTCTCGAAAGTCATGCTATAAATTTGATTTTATTGTAAATTATGATGCAATAAGAAGCCGTGGTGGATGGTCGAGTTGGCAAGCGCAGATGCAGACTCAGGGTTTGAAGGGGTCATGTGTTCCGATACCGTCCCAGCATGGATGTTGGCTTTTGTGTGTGTTGTGTTGTGGAAAGTTTCGCGTGCTGCGGCTTCTAGACTTGAGGAATGCAATTGAAGTGTGCAGTGAACAGTCTATGGAACACCCCTTTTAGAAAGAAGAGGGTAACCGACTGGGAATAACCTATATCAAGAAAGAATATAATCATAAACGAAATCTACTCGTATATCAAATTTTCATTTCGTCTTAAAATATATGCAATATGAGAGAGAACCATGGGAGTATAAAACAAACTAATAATTTTAATATTACTATTATGATGATCAAAGTCGTGTTTTTATGAAAAGAGAAATCCAAGTTTGAAGAATGAGAGACGTAGATAATATTGTTAGGAATAATATTCACGAGAATAAAACGTTTCATCACCATGAGAGAAATTTGAAACGTGCTCACACATGTGTAATCACACAAGCTCCGTAAAAACATAAATGAAGTATATATTACACACAAACAATGCTCGAAGGCAACACACCGTTCGTACACGCAAAAAAGTGTAACTGTACGAGGGTTTACTGAGAAGGATAAGGCGGAAACATCCTGCAGCTAACAGTGCGTAGAGGCACAGGCGCGGACCGTGGGAACGGCAGGAGGCTCATTTCGATTTACTATCTCTTTCTCTCTCACTCTCACTCTCTCTTTCTCTCTCTCTCACTCTCTCACCTTCGCTCCTCGCTCTCACTCCTTTGGTTATAATATTTTAATCGTCTCAGAAATTTCCGCGGTTTTTCCTCCGGCCCGCACCTGGCACCGAACTGGTTTTTGACGCGGGCCGAGGTGATCTTCATCGCGTGCCTTACATACGCCGTCTTAGAACGAGCTCGAATGTTTCTTCCTCGAGACTGACGATTTTTTTAATGCTCGTGAATTGCGGGAACCGTTGCGAGTTGTAGATACTACACTCAATTGAAATTAAAGTGCGAAAAAAATGGTTTACGGAAATAATTTTGGAAATTTAAAAGAAAGATTAAAGAATTTAATATAGGTTTATATCGGGGCTTTGAATTTAAGTTACTCTTCATTTTTTTGCAATTATTCACATGCACAAAGTTCACATGAAAGAGAAAAACTGTACTCCATCAATTACGTTGAGATTCCTTCCGAACCTGTACTAATGATTATATAAAACCAACAAAAAAGTATTTATGTCACATAAATACTAGCATAAGACAATACTAATAAATATATACTAATAAATGCTGCTTCCCAATCATGGAAAATAAGTTATATTGTCCAAACCTAGGAACTCTCGTAATGTATCGTGGTTTAGGGTAGAACTGTCAACTTGAAGGAATGACCTATAGTAAACTACTACTACTAATAGAAATGTATGAGATCAATAAACGAGACACAGAAAACGGAACCATTAAAAACACTCACACTTTCCCAACACATTTTAAGAAAAAAAATGATGACAGCTTCATTTTCTAAGGAAGATGAAAACTAGAAAAAGATGAATAATAAGAAAAAAATATTGTTAATCAGAAAGAAATGTACAGCGGAACCTCAATATTTGGCACGTGAGGAAAAAACGAAATCAATTTATTTCGACTCTGAGCAGGTGAAGGCGAATGAATAAAATTCTTTATCCCAGTTGCAAATATCAGAGTTCCACTGAAGAGATAAAAACGGAATCGCGTGGAAATGAAAAATGTCGTGGCAAACAAGGAAGATATTTCCAAGTGAGGCAGAACCGCAGCGAGAGCGAAGCCAACCTGCGAACCGGAGCGACGTTCGCCCAGCCGAAGCATCCGCCAGAGCTCCCGAACTAGTAGCTTTAGCGCGCCACCGCCGCCCTGCCAACTATACGCCACGCAGTGAATAAATAAAAATCGCCATTGCCCGGCGGCGAGGAGGGGCGTGACGCGGAGAGAGGCGGGGCGGAGGGGAACGGGGCGGGGGCTCGGGACAGATGTGGGGACTGGACTAAACGGACGAGAGTGAGAGGGACAATTGGGACGCGAGCGGCGACGGGAATAAGTGAGACGGACGAGAGCGACGGGACGAGGTAGAATGTGCAGTGGGGATAGAGGGCCTGGAAAGCCCGGACGGAGCGGGAGGTCCGGGCGAAGCCGAGCTGAGCGGGGGGTTGCGGGGCTTGGGCGGCGGGCGGGGCGGGCGGGCGGGATCGAGTAGTGGAGGCGGGAGAGGTAGGGCGCAGCAGGCCGCAGGGGCGGAGGCAGCGCTGTGGCGGCGCGAAGGCGCGAATGCAGCCGGCGGCGGAGGTGCGGCGGCGGCGGCGGCGAACCGGCCCGTTCAAGTCCGCGCGCACACCCACCCCTCTCCCCTCTCCCCTCCCCGCGCCCCCCCCGCCATCCCGCCCGACCTGGCCACCACACCGCCGCCAGCCGCCCGCCGCTTTCGCCGTCCTGCCGACCTGCGGGTGCAGCTGCTGCGCCGCAGGCGCCTTCACAGGTCCATACCGCTATTGTCGCCGAACACGCACCCGCGTTCTCGCTTTCCACGTCGGATCTGTATGAGATGTAGTTGTCGCGAAATTTTTTTGCAAATTCCGAAACTGCAGCTCACTTTAACGACACATTTTATATATTTAACACGAGTCATCCGAGGATTAATGTTATTCGAAAAATGGAAAATAAGGCGGAACCTAAATCTCTCCAATTGAAAGACAGACCGAGTAGAAAGACATTTCGACGACGTAACTACGTTCGAATTGCCAAATACCATAATAACAAAAAGGAGCGGCGGAAAAAATTAGAGAAACAAAGTCGAGCTTCTATACGAAATAAAATGAATATTCTGGCTCAAACCAAAACGGCATCAGAGAGCACGAACAGTCGCTTCGTTATTCAGCAGTAAAATCTCCTGGCCTGACAGTGCTGCTAGGAGGAGCACCGTCATTTTCATGCCTCACTGCAACTTCTTCGCTGCGCACCGCCTCCTCGTCACGTCCCGTCCCGCAGGCAGTGGGCATCCATTCTGTCCTAACGCGCCGGTGCTTTCGCCAACCTGCGCCGCCGTTGCGAGCGCCCGCGCTTGCGCGCCTTCGCCCTCGCCTTCCGCCGCGGCCGCCGCCGCGTTCTTCACCTCCTCTGCGCCGCCCGCCCGCGCACCGCCGGCTGGCTGCCTGCGCGCGGCGATCGCTCGCCCAGGCCGCCGGCCGTCGCCGGCCTGGCCGCGCCGGCTGTCGGCCGAGGAGCAATGAGGCGTGGGCGGGGCGCCTGCGGAGGCTGCAGGGGCGCGCGGCGGGCGGCCGGCCGGCCGACGGCCGACGGCCGGCGACGACCGCGCCACAGGCCGCGCAGCGCAGCGCACGCTGCCCGCGAAAGCACCGTTCTCGCGCCCACACGCTCCCATCCTCCAGCCTTCCCACTCCATGCTCACTGATTGACTGTTTCCGCACGTCGACTGCTATGGTTATTAATCCCGTTGGTATAGTAAATGTTGAATCGCGCGGTCTTCCTCCATCCGAGCTGGATGGTGAGATGCGGCGCCGACGTGTTGCCGGCGATTTGTCGCCTCCAGGTATCTCCCGCGGATGGGGCACTGGCCTTGCCAAGACAAGCACTAAGGTCCTGACTGGGGTAGAGCAGAGCATGTATGTGTAAGAGTGTGGGTAGGGAGAATCAATGGACAATGACGAGGGAGGAAAGATCGCGTGCGGTCCGTGTCTCGTTTGTTAGCTTGTATACTGTATCCAACTCCGGCATTCGTTTGGAATTGAATTTGGAAAAAAACTCGGTAAACTACCGATTAGAGCAGCCTGCTGTTGCAATTCTCCTCCAGACCATGCTTGAATTCGATCCAGTCATTTAGCAGAGACTAAAATTCGCTATCGTCAGGACTCGAATACGACGATTGCTCGGGTCTTCACAACACTGGAAGCAACGGTGATGCAGCCAGTACAATGCATGAATACTCTTCATATGACGCAGTTCCCAATTCTAATCTTGTCCTGATATCCATAGAGTTTGCGGAATCTTCCATGATCACGGAGGATGGATAATGGGGACTGCAGAGATTATCGATCAGTCAATTGCCCTAAACATGAATGAGGAAAAGGGTTGGAGAGGAACAGTCGCGTGCGGAGTGCGGTAGGGATGCCCCATTGAAGTCGATGTTTTCAAAACATCAATGTTTCTGTAGAAACATCGATGTATTATCACCGATGTTTTTTTAACATTATATTTCGCGATCGATGTTTTTTTATTTTCCAATGTTTTGTTTCTGAATGAAAAACTCCCAAGATCACATTACTGTAAACGTTAAAATATGAAATAATATCTGATAGTAACATTGTTGTTATTCATGTGTTGGAACCAAAGGAATCGCAATCTCTTTCGCCCGAAATGACCTCCATGTTCTTGTATTTCCTCTCTCTTCATGTTCATTTCACACATTGAGATATGCTCAACAAATAAGCTGTGGACGTAGGGTCGTTCCCTTCTTCTCGGACACTCGGCAAATTGATAAACACGGCAAATGTCAAATTCATCAATATCTTCAATTGATTACATCTCGTAAGCGCATTTAATTGACAGAATGTTACTAAGATACTTCTGGCCAAGAAAAATTGTGAATTAGTACAAAACTACTTCTTAAAATCTCTATTCAAAATCACTTCATGTTCCTTGATCGTTGATAGACGAAGAATGAAGGGCATCTTGAACGGGAAAAATGAAGAATAAAATTCCATTCCCATTTCAACTGCATGAATGTTAATACTTGTAACAAATGTAACAATATGCCTAATAAAAGTGTGGATACGGAGGTCTTGTTGACTTGAAGTTCATGTACTAAAATTGTACATGTACAAAATTAGTCATGATGTTTGAAAAATCAACTGAAGCAATAAAATAGATACATTAATTTCATAACAACTCCCACAGAAATATGTGATGTGTGTCCAGCCTTGCCGATTTACGTTCATTCGCATTCCTTCCCCGTATAAAAAGTCTGTCTGTTAATTCTAGATATTCCTTCATCATTGTTCTTTCGTGTCATTAATCCTGTTGGTACATAGGCGGTTACTAAAACTCCCGACATATTGACAGTTGATATTATATGGTATTAGAAATATTGCATGAGATGAGGGAATAAGTGCCCTATTTACCGCAATCGCACTAGAAAATATTCACGGTTCATGAGCAATGCACATCCTGAAAACTTTGATACTTGTATCGCCGTATCTGACTTGTGTTACCTCTTGGGGTTGGCATCCATTATATATGTACAACGCATAGACGTACAATATTGATTTACACAAGTCAATAGTGTTATTGGATATGTGTTCTGATATACGTCTACTTGAATATTGATTTCTTCATTCATGAATAGCGTGCACTACAACGGCGCTAATTGATAAAGGTAAATACACTACCACACCGACCCTTTCCATGCATATATATCACCTGCTTTGAGTACTTTCATTCTTCTACATCTTATAGCGGCGATCCGGATGGCCGAGATCGCTAAGACAGTCGTGTCATAGCGATCTCGGATCGAAGGATCGCGGTTTCAAATCCCGCCTCGGACATGGATGCATTTGTGATAGACCCCCACCCTTCATCACCATCCTATTACTTCATTAAAAAAGGATTAATAATTCCCTGCGGCCCTTTCCTTAATGGGATGTGCAACTGGCCAAAACAATCTTATACTTGTGAAAACTCCAGCTCATCGCTTTTAGTGTTAGTATTTGGCTTTTGGGGTCGATAGTACGAATTTGCAAGCCAGCTAACGGTCTAGTTTATCCCACGCCTTGGGGGGGACGGCTAGAGCAACATGTGGCGAACATGACATATGCATTTAACCGTAAATTGAAAAATTGAGCTTTTCATCGTCACACAGCTACAGAAACAGACGATTTTAAAGGAAAACAACAACTATTTTTTCCTCGACCGGGAATCGAATCCGGGATCACACCACGGGCTAGTACGCTAGGTAATTCGGATGTACACCGCCCCTGAACCATCCAAGAGGCTTATCTCATTATTTCATTATCGTAAAAAATATACGCTGTAGTCATGGATAGCTAGCTGCAAGCAAAATCTCAAATTTCATTTTTTAAATAAATTGAGAACAAGATAAAGAAACTACTTTTCTTAGTAGAGTATTAACATTGATTTAAAATCACCCATTTGTTAGCACTTACAAATATATTTTAAGCAATATAGTACCTGGAACCGAATAATAAATTTATCGATTTATCGCAGCAATGGTGGTGCGTACAACGGAAAGAAAATACAAATATCCTAAATAGAAATACAACGCGAGTGTATCATTTAGTAAAAAGAATATTCTCTTTCCTGTTCCTGCCGTATCGTTTATTGAATTATCCAGGGTTCTCTTTCTGGAACACACTTTAAGATTTCAGCCCGCGATAAATAAATTTGAATAAAATGAATAACGGATTTGATTATTTCATTGTGCCATCTGAATTGTTTCCTTCCTCTCTTTCTTTTTTCGTCTTCCATTCCAAGAATAAGCTAATTTTTAGAGATACCGATCACCTCATGATGTGCCAGAAATATTTGACTCATTCTAACTGCTTTTAGCTTTTACAGAATCCTGCATTTATTTGCCTTTGCGTATTTGGAATTATTTCTGCAATTCTGTTTCATGTTAATTACTTCCCTTTACCTCACACTTCAAAAGAGTCTAATTTTCTCTTTTCTGTCATTATTAATGTACATTTCTCGTATCCATTTCGAACTTAAAATATCAGTTTCTGGAGCAGTTAGATTTTGATCTTTAACGACGTGTCTGCATCTTTGCTGAATTCATTCAATTTTCTTCCAGTTATTTCCCCTGTGACAATTTACTATTTTAATTCCTCTCTAAATATCTCTTTTGTCTTACGCCTATATAGAGTTATGGACAAATTATTGCAACTCCTATAACAAACTTTCCTATCTTTTAATTTTTTCCGAAAGGTCGCGTTTCATTTGCTGTGGCAGAATAGAAGGTCGCATCGACCACTTTTGTAACTGCACCTAGCTGTATAATAGTAATTTACCAAATAAGTATTGAAGGGCCTCTTTTTACAATATGACACTGGAGAATTATCAATCGAGGTCGTTAGGTGGAGTTTGGTATCCAATCGAGCGCACCTCAATACAACGCATACAATACAATGTTATCTGCTTTTAAAAAATCCAGTGCGATTACGGTATAACCTCGCAAATTCAAAACCCGCAAAACCGAAATTTTGGATAATCCGAAAAAAATCGGGATGAAGGAAAAATAAACAACAATTAAATAACAAGATAAATAAAATGCTTATGTGTAGCGTGAAGAAATAAATAAAATGCTTGTGTGTAGTGTGAAAAGATTTTATAATTACTGTAGAACTGAACAAATAACTATTGAAATACAAGTTATTCAAATGAAATGTTTATTGCACTGGTAACGATGTTGTTCATCGCATGTTTACGTAGCCGTAGTTTCCAATTAGAGGAACTTGCAAAATCGGTAATCGACTTTGGCCGTAAGGAATCTTTTTTAAATCGATTCTTCAATCAGATCAGCAGCTAGTTGCTGCTTTATATTATTTTGTTGACATATTTCCTTATACATACTCTTTTAAGAGGAACATAGCAAATTAAACAACAAAGGAAATAATATGCTTGATGTTGCTATGTGATGATGTCACTACGCTACGGTGCAATTTTCTCACATCGCACGCTACGTTTCATTGTTTAGTACTCCTATAGATGTATTTGTAAATGTACCCAATTATTTCGGATTACCGGGGTTCTACTGTACAATATTTTCGTTTGAAAATATAGGGTTTGACTATTTATTCTATAAAAGATGATGGACTAATATTGATAGTAGTCAATAGGAAGTCTGGAATTATTGCATTAAATGTTACAATATTAAGACTAAGGGGTTTCGCTCAGAAAGTTGTTTGAGTTTCCCATTCAACCAAATTTTGTTTTTTTTTAGTTAAATGAAAGATAGTGAGCCCGTAATGCTCGTAAAAATCGTTTTTATGACATTAACACTACATAATAATAATAATAATAATAATAATAATAATAATATATTAAAATTAACAGAGTAAGCTTACATGCCGCTATTTGTGTATTACTTCATTTGGTTGAGGAATTTGCAATCGATCTATGTATCGAAAATAGACATTGTTTCGTCGTGTGCCGCGAGCCAGCGTGGAACGTGAGGTTACAGTTCGGGAAGAGGAATAAGCAAGTTCTTTTAAGAATGAAGATCAAAAACTGAACATAAATAGAAAATTGTGACGGGGTTCCACTAGTATTACTTCTAAAGCAACTGAATAGTTGGGAATATTGGTAAATGGCTTATTGGAGTATTTCATGTCGTATTTGTTTAACTAATAACTTGTGTTAATTATGAGATTGTGCATTGTGAACGGAACAAAGCAACAAGTTGCAGATAGCAGCATTTCTGCGCGGAACCGAAATGAAACGGTGGGGAATTTCAGGTTCAGAGGTTTCTTTCCGGATCGAAACTACTTCGAAATAAACAGTTTGAGGTAGCGGCCTGGACCATTTTTTACGTTGGAGTTACGCTCCGTGAACGGACACCTTAACTCACATTGGTTCACATCACTCGTATTTAATGTTTCCGGGCGCGTCCATTACTTTGGTCATTAGCCCTATGAATGAATTGAATTCAATTGATGCCTTATTTTACGTGGCGAGACTCAGGCCCTAAGGCTGCAAATTTCGCTAAGCTCCTCTCACCATTTAGCGGAGAAAGGAGGTATTTCTTGGGCGACGAAACAAGCCATTTGAATTTAGCTCAGAGGCGTCAATTAGGCTTGAGAATATTTTACATGCAGTAAATCCACTAACATGGGGCAGCCGAATTTACTCCTCCTCCGAAGTAAGACCTATAAACATTTTGTCGCCCTTAAAAAATCTACGGCTTCGATCGTACTTGAGCCTGTGAATTTGCGTATAGCAATCCGTAACACTAAACGTGACACCACGGAAGCCCTCTGCCCTGTGAACTCAACATTACCCTTTGAAACGTGCAGGAAACTGCGGACGTGGACCAAAGTTCGGAGAGACGTAACACTGTGTTGTAGCTGCTGCTGCTGCTTCTGCTGCTGCAGCGGCGGCGGCGGCGGCCGGTCGAGTGCCCGGCGGCCCTGGTGCAACAGCACCCCAGCGGAGGTCCTCGACCTTCCCGGCGCTGGAACTCCCCCGCGCCGCCTCCTCCGCCGCCGCCGTTCGGCAGGCCATTTTTCCCGATTCGTCCGTCAACCCGGTTTAATTACAATAGTGGACCGGTGCCCGCAACGTATCTCCTTAATCAATACTCGCTCCAGTCGCATTATTTTTCGTAACAAAATGTCCAAATGTTATTGTTTTCAGAAAAAAAAAACTGACGTTAATACGTCGCCAAGAAACTTTTTGGATACCAATACCTTGTCGTATTAAAGCTACGACGGCAAGTATGATAATGCAGTTGTATCGGTGGGAGTAAATACGATACTTTGCGGTTGCCACGCCGATAAAGTATTTTTATTTGGTTTAACATCCCATCAAGGTGAATGTACTCCATTCACGTACCCTTGACTTCCGCACATTCAAGGACCTCGTTACGGCTTCGAGACTATGACTCAAAAGTCTCCTACATACTTGTCGCTCCTGTTTCCAGTTACGTAAGATTAATTCAAATATAAACTTATCTCAGAGATAGAGAAAATTACCAGATTTTATTTATAAAACATGAATTCACATTAGTCTTCGGTTAGCTAGAGCTCAAAGTGTTTGACCAAAGAGAGAAAAGTCTTTCAACGCGAGAATTTTGATAAAATGCGACAATATTGTATACGCGGCATGGGGCGAATCATTAAATCAACTTATTTGAACAATTCCCTCACGATTCGCATCAATTTTATCGCGATTTACCGTGTAAGTTGTCCTTTTTCATTTTTATATTAACGAGACATATTTCGAATCACATACTTGGGATAAAAAAATATTTTTGGTTAATAGGTCTCAAGAATATTCGTTTTGATTATAAACTCTAGCAGGTGCGTGAACGTTTTTAAGAAGAGTTTCCTCAAATAATTCAGACGAATACGAATGCACGATTTAATTAATATTTTCTGAAACTAGTAGCAAGATGTAGATTTATTAAATGCAAAAGAATGAAATAAAAATTATGCAAATACATAATTTTAGAAAAGAGGGATATGGCTTTTAAATAAAGTAGAAAAAATATTTAAATAAAAATAAATATTGCAGAAATGTACTTAAATCATATTCTGAAACTTGAAACGCATTTATAAAGACTTAATAGTTAATAAATGTTTAGTTTCGACTTTAAATTAAAAAATATCAATGATCGTCAAAATTACATAAGTTTAATTAATTTAATGTGATATTCAAGAAAAACAAGACCTCAAATTAAATTTTCAGATTTATAAACATCTATTCAAATTGGTGAAAGAGGGTAATGAGGGAAATGAGGTTCAGCAAGTTCGTGAAGGAAGCTCTACTTTTTTTACCTACATAGAACTCGTTACTTAAAAGAAACTATATTTAAAATGAACAAATCAAGGAATTTTGGCAAAGGGCAGGAAAAGACCCAATCAACTATTAACTGATTCGTTCACATTTTGAAATAATAGTTTAGATTTTCCCATTCTAACTTCGATCGCTGTAGATTCTTGTCTGAATATTTCCCTATTAGAAACTTGTATTAATGAATAAAACGTTATTGAGGCGAGACAAATTATATCCAGTTACCTTGCAGTAATATGACTGCAATAAATAACCTTCAAACAGAATTAAGAATGATGATCAAGAAGATGAGAAAAACTGAAGAACAAGATGATTTATTGTTCGAAGTTTGAATAAGTGATGTAACAATGGATAATCAGCAATTCATACGTCTGAAAGCAAACGAATGGGTCGCTACCAAGTTTCGTTTTCGTGACGTTAATTTATTTATACGCGTACGAGCACATGTGTGTGTGTGTGTGCGCGCGTGTGTGTACGTATGAGAATATTTTAGTATGAATGAACTCCACGTAGGTGTGTACGTGAGAGTCAGCTTCAATGTGTATGCACAACCATTTCTTCGACAGTGTTGTGAATAAGCAGTTTCATCATATCGTCGCAAGGTCTTTTTCTTATCATTTCTAAATCTGCCTTCCTTCTTCCTGTTTCCAACATTTCCTTGTTTCTCGGAGTCTCTAGATAATTAATTCCCATGATTTTGTCTGTGCTGTGTCTGAATTCTCAGCTGAGATTCTAATCCTTTCTGTTCACGATGTTCATTATATTTTTCATGCTCCTCGTTACTCTGGCACATGGCATTCAACACGAATATTATATAAAATGTAGCTAAACGTTGCAGAAGTTTGTGTATTTGCCATACACACTGGGTGTGGCATTAATAATAATAATAATAATAATAATAATAATAATAATAATAATAATAATAATAATAAAGCCAGTTAAGATCGCAGAAATCGTTAGGGCAGTAGGGCCGTAGTGGTCTGGGACTAGACGACTGCGGGTTCGAGTTCCGCCTCGGGCATGGGTGTACTTGTGTATGTCTATATGTGTGTGCCGTCCTTTCATCCCTCACTATCATCACCAACATCACCAACATCACCAACATCATCAACATCATCAACATCATCATCATCATCATCATCAACGAATCGAATCGTCTATACCCTCAGGGCTAACAACCTTGGGGGATAAAATTTGCGATTCAGCTAAAATGCTGATACCCCCTCCCATATAATGGTACTTGCACATGCTGAAGCAGGATGCACGTGTGGTTCAAGTTGCGCGAAAAAAGTCTTATAACATTCATGATAAAACACTAATAAGGAAAAAAACAAGTTTTTGTAATAATTTCCATAATCCCTGTTTATTTTCATTTACTTTTCACTAACATTTGCATGACAATAATAGTAACTTTTATCATCCACCTACCGACACACTAGCTACCTTCCGTATTGTGAGTTGAGCTTTAATCGATTGGTGCAACTGGGAACGTGACATTCCTCGAAATTGAGTATTCATACCCTTCAGGAACGCCTTGGGAAGAACTGTCAATTAGTACCGGTTGCTTACGAAAGAATCAGCGTAGTAGCGCAAATCCGTTACGACATTTGACACGCCAACCGAAATCATTACCTCAAATACACCTTCCAATGCTACATACTGGGTGCTCGAGGAATTGCGAGTGTATCTTTACGTTTCTGTTCAAACGTTTTTTGCACCTCTCAACAAAAAGACTTGAATTTCCGAAGTGTACACGTCAACGATACACCTGCAATAGATGAAAGAATGAAGCAACTCTTGCAAGGCCTTATTGAGGAAGGGGGGATAATGAAACTCTAAACACGTATCGATGGCGGGTTGCGGGCGGCAACGGTGTCCTTCCGAGGAGGGACTTTTCGGGCGAGGGCCTTGGTTTGCGAAGCAGGTCGGGGCGTGAGGCCACGTCGCTCAGGCGGCGAACATTATTAAAGGGGACAAGGAAGATGAAACAAAGGGCAGTGGATGGCCACAAGGTGAAAGTAGAAAAGAAGAACGGGCAGAGGGTCGAGAACCAGAAGAGAGAGAAAGATGAAAATAGAGACGAGGGAGTAGAAGGGAGAAAGTGCGAGAGAAAAGGATGGCGAACGAGAAGAGGGACTGTTTGCCGAGAGAATCAATGATAAAAAATGTGAATCAGAATAAAAATAGGAATAAAATGTATTAAGTGAAAATCTATGAAGAAGTAGAAAACGAACTGTCTTTTTCTACAAAGTCTAATCTTCAATCCAAGAAAAAACATTCAATCCGTAAATATCAAGAAAATGAACGAAGTAAAGCTACATAATACAATAACACAGAAACCGAATTGGATAAAAATAAATGCCGATCGACTTTGCAAAAACAGTATAAGCAATGAGAGGGGATGGGGGTTAAGAGAGAGTGAGAAAAGAAAATCAAGGAATTTGAGGTAACCTTCGTAAACCGTTACACAAAAGGACAGTAAACTGAGAGTGAGAGAAGAGTGAGCGAGTGTATTTATTGATTTCGGGCGCGCTAACATCTTTTATTAGTCCCGTATGTTGTATCCAGGGAGGTGGCGATGTACCTCCCCCGCTGCAATTCCGCGACGTTCTATGCGCCGTCTTGCGAAGCCTTCTCCCTCCAGGCATATCTCCAAGCGGGGACCCCGCCCAGCCGGGGCACGCACTTCTGTCCTGGCTTGAATCCCGATATGTGTGGTAATGAACTACATGTTACAAGTGTGTATGTAAGGGAAGAGGGTGGGACAATGATGAGGAGGCAGGCCGATTGTTAAAGTATTGCACGGGGATTCGCTTAGCACTGGAATCACAGAGGAAAATGACCCATCAGTGCAGCCAGCCACAAGAATTCTCCTCGAGACAGTAGCTGAATTCGACTTAGCTACGTGGGTAGTGTCGAAAACCCGGCGCCCTAGGGACTCGAAACCCAGGACCTCCCGTTCAACGACACTGCTGACATAACAATATCGTAACTGAAATACAACTGGGAGCGAAAGGCAATGAGAAGAAGAGTGGATGCGCGTGAGGAAGAAAGAAGATTGATGGACTGATTGATTAGTCAACTACTATTGGAGCGTCAACTGCTAAGGTCATTAGTATAGTCAGTATAGTGCATGTTCCCTCTCGAAAGGTAACGGTCATCTTCTCCTGCTGGATGATGAGATTTGGCTTCGACTTATTTCGCATTCCGATCGCACTGATTGGAGAAACCACGGAAAACAGACCGATCAGAGCAACCGGTTGCTAGAATTCTCCTTCACATGGCGACTGGATTTGACATAGCTATCTATCTAGTGCCGAAACTCGTGCCACCGTCGGAACTCGAACCCTAGGATATCTGGGTCAGAGGTACCTTGAGTCACCTCTCCCGGGGGAGAAAGAAGAGCTGAGAAGATCGGTGTGGGGCGGGCCAGTGATTCTGCAGAGAAGCTACTTTATTGCAACTGAAAGACAACAGCGAGAGAAAGAACGTCAACGAGGAGCAGCGTGTATGAGCGTGCAGGCAGGAGGAGGAGGGGCTGAGAAGACGGGTGTGGGGCGGGAACGTGTAACACCGCAGCCCACCTCAGCGGGCGGAGTGGCGGGCGGAGGGGGTGGGGTCCGGGGCCCGGGCGGCGCAGGCGCCTCGCTGAGTCACCGCGCGTGGAGCGTCGCCGCGTGCGAGGCGCGTGTCGGCACGCGTGCGCGAGC